ACATTAGTTGCAAAAAAGATGAAAAGTAAGAAAAAAATCTCATCTTTACAATTGAATTGAAACTTATAAATATAGAAATATTGAGTTAAAATAGTCATTTATGACCATAATAATAATAATAATATTTGCACAAGAATTATCAATAGATTCTAAGGTTAGAAGTAACACCTAAATGCAACTTAGATTAAAACTTGTGAGTGGTACTTATAGGTAGAAAATGTCTCCATTCACATATGAGCTAGCTACCACTGATGTGTGAGACCTGAAACTTGAACAGTATTACTTTTTTCTCAGATAAAATATACCCAAATATTTTCTTGTACTGTTCTTGTAGCTTTTCCATAATTCTGAAAGTGTATCACATAAAAATCACTCCATATAATTATTAATCAAATTAAACATATGCCATTTACATGCCTAAATTCATGTTACAACAGTATTTTTGGTAAACATGTTGAAAAATTGATCTGGGAATATATCAATTTTCAATGGTTAGCCAAACCATGACTAATTATTTGTAAATGTTTTGTTAAAATTTGCGTTTTTCTGGAATACAGCTTCAGCATAAAAATATGGCACCTCTGTCAAGATTAAACTCCCTGCACATTCTGGGTTTGGAATCTGAGATGAGCTAACAGTTAGACTGCATGTTCTCTCCAGAGAGGCTGGCGAGTGACGTAGCACAAAGTGAAGGTTGGCAGACCCCATCTCCAGCTCTCAGTGAGATAAGAGTCAAGTGGGACACGGGCTGAAAGGATACAGAGGGTTAACCTGGACTGTTTGACGTGGTGTTGTTTAAAGGAACAGCAATATTGAGAACGGAGAATGAAAGGGCTCTCTTTTCCCTCTAACGTGGAGCAGGGAGAGGTCTGCTCTCTCTCTGTGCATATTTTCTACTAGTATAAGTGGATGAATATTTCCATGATTAGTCATGCTGGAACAGGAAAATATATGGGAGAAAGAAAGAAAACAGAAGGAAGGAGAGAGTAAAAGAAATCTAGGAAAGCCAGCAAATATGGAAATATTGTCTTTCCTAAGGAGTCAGCGTGGATAATATGAATGATGCACTCAAGGATTTGGTTCTTACAGAAGTCCACACACATACAGCAGTCTTCCATGTTGACAAGTGTGGGGAGCAGAGGAAGTCCTGAGAAAGTGAAGTCCTGAGTGAATGTATATTGTTGACATGAGTGCAGCCATCTCAATTCCTCCAAAGCCTCAGCCCCATGCTTCTCCTCCCTGGGTAAAGCTCAGAGGGATGGCAAAGCCTTCCGCTAGGCTTTGGATGGATGCTGATAATGTGGGCAGGAAATGTCCACCATATCCCTTTCCTCCTTGATGTTTACAGTCTGGAGACTGCTGCCCTACACACTAACTAACCTGTCTCCTTGATCTAACCATAAACCGTAAACCTCCTTGGTTCCACTGTGTGCAATAATCCCACCCCCTTTTCAACTATATAATAAATCAGCTGGGTGTTGGGTGCTGGATGCTGGGTGCTGTGGCTTGTCCATCAGAGAGCCCTGACCACCCAATCCCAGCTCGTCTATGTCTGTTTGTCTTTCTTTCTTCCTTCCTTTTCTTTTTTCATTCCTTCGCCGCCCCAATCAGGTCTCTCCCTGGACCTGTACAGGATGCAACAAACAAAAATACATCTACCTTGGGAGGCATCCCCACAGTTGGCCAGGTATGAAAATTATTCTTTTCTCAGATGGAGAACGGAGAATCCCGCCAGGTGGGTGTGAAGGTGGTTTTATGGGGATTCTTTAGGAATAGAGCAACAAAAAAGTCTGTGGGCTTCGAATACATATGTTGATATATAAGTGAAAATATTTGTAGATAGAACTTACAAAGGACTGTGATTCCCTTCCGTGGTCCCAGAGCCCTCATAAAAAGCTTAGCTAGTGTGGAATTAATTCTTTGGAAATATCTTTTTATGCCAATTTGCATTTGGAAGATTGGAGCATCAAGATTTGGGGGAAGTTGTATAAATTTGTCTGCACTGGTACCCACATAGAAGACTGTGCTTATTACTCTAATCTGGCACAAAAGAGAGTTATTCTGACTTAATAAATTGCTTCAACTGTGCTGAAGTACAAGTGCCTCGTTATTCAATAATGTTTAGAAGAAACAAGAGACTTGTTAATATTTACATCCCTACTAAAGCCTGTCACTCAAGTAAGTGCATGGAACTCACTAACATAATTATGCTTGAGACCTAGCTCGCTTTGGTTATGTTTGGCCGGTGTCTCTGTGGGTGAATATTGGAACCAATTAAGATAAAGCACAGGGTAGTGATAGATCCAGGCCTTGGGCGTGGGGGAACATGCCCTTCTGGAGTTGTATAATGATGAGTAGACATGACAAAAGAGAGGAAGAGGCTTCCAGAATTTAAATATACTACCTTTGGTGTTGACTTGTCATTTGAATAAACATGTGAGTCTTCACTGTATACATTACAAGCATGATCGGGAACTGCTACCTAGAAATGTCTGTACAATCTGTACTCCACTCTACTCAAGTTTTCTACATTTGAGCCATCCTTATTCTCAGCTCAATATCTGCCTGCTATACCCTCAAAATGTCCCAACGCTTTAAGTCTCTTCCTTCAAGTTCTCCAACATCTGGAGACCTGGGAGGGAAGCCTTGTTTTCTTACTCATGGGCATGCCACTCTTCAGTGTGTCCTCATCCTAAACTTCCCTACACCCCACCCCTGAGCGCCATCTCCCACCAATCACACCTGAAGGCCTCAGTCCGCCATGATCTGAGTCCAGTTGAATACACTATTGATTTTAATGTCCAAATTCTGTGGGTAGGTGAACAGCTCGGGCAGTCGAGTGCTAAAGGAGCGTGGCCTCACAAACATCTCATGGTTCTAAGTGAAGGCAGACACATCCTACAGCGGACTGTAAACTTAGCTCTGTCCTGTGACTATTCTCTACATTATCAGTGGTTAGTGGCTAGAGAAGAGGGTGAAGGTGGAATTACCCCAATCCAATGTGTGGCTGAACATCTCCTGTTGAATGAGCATAAGCTGTCTGTAACACTGAGAGCTCTCACAGCATTCTGTCAAGGAGATCTGACCTCTTGACCAGGCAGACAAATTGCATCATGGCATGGTGACTTGGAAAGAGGGAAAAGATGTCCCTTGCCTTCATATATAATCTGTCCTAGATGACTCCATTTGTTCGATGTCCATTGTTCGAGGTCTTAGACACTCCAGCTACTCCCTTAGTTTTCCTAGCTTTCCCCAGACAATCTGGCCTTACTCCACACTTCCCATCATTGCAGCATGGATTTAGATGCTCAGAGTACTTCTTTCAAAGTGGGAGAATGAGGAAAACATCAGGGGACCATCTAAGCTGGAAACCTAGCCCAGGATTTTGAGCCCCTTAAAATCGATGACTACCCAGGGTGTCAGAAAGGGGAATTCTAACAAAAGGTGCTGTTTATTTGCAATATGCATTCCCCTTTGACACTGTGTGATGAACTTCTCCCAAGGTTGGACAGGTTCTTAAAGTTCTCCTTCCAGAGAAGAACATAACACTTCCTGTTTCAAATTTCACTTTAAGAAATGAGAACTTTGAAGGCATTAAGAGAAGCACAGCAATTATAATCTGCAATGCCTTTTGCTCCTGTCAGTTTAAATTAAGCCCATGATATCTGAGCACAATTTCCTATATTTAATAATACATAAAGCAAGATAATTAAAAGGTATGCACACACGCTGGGAAAGAAACGTTATTGAGTGAGGCGCTGACTTTAATCTCCTCCTCTGTAGATGAAATGTAGCAAACCGAACAGCTGAAAGCAGACACAGAGGACAATGGCAGAGACTGCTCTTCATACCGGCTCTTTCTTCTGTGACTCAAACTTCCTGTTGACAGGGCATTTCTATTTGAAAATCCTTCAAGTCAGCTTCAGAGTCAACATTCGAAACCGAACCCATCACCCAGACCCCAACCTGCTGTGTTCTCTGCTTAGGAGTGGAGATAACCACCAGCTCAGTAGACCCGGAGTCTTCCCTGACTTCCACTGCCTCTCAACACACACAGAGGCACCCACACGTACACAGACACCCACACATACACAGGCACCCACATGTACACAACTACCCAAACATGGATAGCCACCCCACACATACACAGCCACCCCATCCATACACAGCCACCCCATCCATACATAGACACCCACATATACACAGTCACCTATACATACACAGCCATCCACACATACACAACCACCCATACATACACAGACACCCACATGTACACAACTACCCAAACATGGATAGCCACCCCACACATACACAGCCACCCTCACTCGTGGATGCAAACATAGACACATCTAGCCAAGCTCCCAGTGCAGTTGCTTCTACTTCCTCTTCCTCCAAGCTTAATTTGCCCCTTCCAGTGTGCTTTCTAGAAGGAGCCAAAGTGACCTTTTAAAAATACAAACTCGATTGTACTATCCCTGTCCTCAAATGTCTGTAGTTTTTCATAAGATGTAATTTACATACATCTTTTTTTTTTCCTGTTACTGACAAGCTCCTACTTCTCCAGCATCAGACATTTATTACCCTCACGCCCTTGCATTCCATAGACTAGTCATATTGAAATTCACTTGGTTCCTCCAACACACCACACTGGAATCCCTTTCCCAGAACTCCACTGCTCATTACTAGTCTTATTTTAAATCCCAGTTAACCTGTCTCATCACATCTGTGAGCCTTCCTCCTGCGCTCACATTGCATGCTAAATGCACCCCATCAGAGAGCACACGTATTGATAGGGCCCGTCTACTAATCTATATTCCCCATTGAACCATACATCTATGAGGGAAGAGAGGGATGGGAGGACGGAGGTATACATAATTACGGGTGTGTCTCTGTAAGCCCTTAGGAGACAGTTCTACCCGCCTTCGTGGGAACAGGATTGCTTTAACACAGAGGTAGCCACACCTCCAGCTAACACCACAGGCCCTCTCTCTGCTCCACAGCTGCAGGACTGGGAACGACTGGACTGATCCAGATCCATTCAGAAATGCTCACTCCGTCCTCCTGGACCCAGAGGCTCGCCTTGAAAGGCTGACTGTCTCGCGTTAAACTGTAAGTTCCTCAAAGGCAAGTCTCATGTCTAATTCACCTTTACACTCCCACAGTTTCTAATACAATGTCCTCCACAAGGAAGGTGTTTAATACATATTTGATGAATGAATTAATGGATGGCTGAGAAGCCAGAATTAGAAGACCTTGTTTGTACCGTAATTAAGAGATCCTCAGAGGTTTGTGGCTTGGGCTGCTTTAGTACAACCATTGTTGATGAGTTGGATTGTGCCCAAACCAACACATGTGACAATCACCTGAGTTCCCACCATGCCAGCATTAGGATGATCCCAATTATTGACAACCACAGGGAGGAGAGCCATAAAGTAAGATTAGCGGGCATGGGAAACTCTGACTTCCAAATTCTGCAATGATTCCTCCCTTATGCAGAACAGGCAAAATGCACAAATAGTCTTTCCTGATTTAGCAGAGTTCCCGGGGCGATTGAAACTGTGGATCTGAGAAAAGATTTGGGCAATGTTGCAGGAGGCAGCCAGAGTCTATATGTTTAACTTAGCTTTGCAGAACATTTTATTTCAAGCCAGTGTATAATTAGAGAGCCTGCCATGAAAATGAGCGGTTTTGTTTATTTATTATGTAAGTATGCCTTTTATTAAAACGACTTTGTGAAAATCTAATTGCCACTACAGTAATATAGCATAGCAGTCCCTTACATAAATACATGATTATTATGTACAGTCACTTATCTGTGAACGAGTTCTGCTACTATTTTCCTTAATTAAGGATACAAAAGGGCTTCTTCATCTTTGCATATTCCCTTGCTAGGACATTGATACTCATTATTTCCTAAGTCCAAACACTGAAACTGTGTCAAGAATGCATCCATCACTAGACGGGTACTTATAGTCAGCGGAATTTTCACCGCTGTCAGCAATTTCAGCAATTTGCAATTTCTGGATCTCTGACATGTGTTTTTATTGGTGAAGATCACTCTCAAATACCAAGATCATGAGAATGATTCTTTGGGTAGTCTCTGCAGCAGCCCACTGTAATGACAGTAATTAACAGCCCGTGATTAGCAGCCACTCCAGAAAGTGTTTGAATGTTAATTTGCTTCAACTAATGTGCAGCAGTTCTGTGTAATGAGATCTAAGCTATAGGTTCACAGGGAAAGCAAATTATTTTCCAGCATTTAATCATACAAATGATTCTTAGTTAATCACTTCAACAGTAAACCTCGATGTCCTAATAAGTGACATTTGTTTTTCTGTCATTCAGTTTACTATGGTATAGGCCAGGGCAAAGATGCCACTTTCATAAGGGTCAAACTCCCACTTGCCGGCATCGGCACTTCAAAATAAGGGCCCCTCAGACAGTGGCGGAATGGAACTGGCATTCTGCACAGGTAGAAAGGCGAGAGAGGTTTCGCATCGTTTCAAATCTTATTCTTCAGACTTTAAAGCCAGCTAGCTGGTGCTTCACTGTCTTGATGCACAAGTTTGTAAGGGGGGCTGAAATGTTCTCTTTCCCCTTTCACAGGAGTGTCCTGATGCCCGATGCAAAGCAAGAAAGTCAGAACAGTTGCCCGTTAACCAAGCATTAATGAGCTAAATTCCTGGTGCTCTCAGTCTGAGGAGGAAAGCCAACATCATGAGAATATGAACATAGTCACTAATGAACAGCCTTCTTCAGAGGTGCATGTCCTCTCCATGCTTGCCTGGAACGGCTAAGTTGTGAGGCAAAGCCGTGGACAAATGAGGAGAGGGAGCCAAGTGAGACCAGCTAACAACTGATAATAGAACAGTCACTTCAAAAGGTAGTGTGCAAGTCTCGAAGAATAAAGAGGCCTTTGGGAGCATGGGTGTAACCCCAAAATATTTTCTGTATACTTACCAACTTCCCATTTATACTGTGAGGTCAGACATTGTGTAGAGGGTGCTGAGTCACATTGTCATGGTATCATCAGAAATATGATACCCCAGTGAGATCCATTATTGATCAGTCCTTTGTTTTCAGACATGGTTCATGATGGGGATGACTGAAATGCAGCCCAACTAAAGAAAAAAAGATAACAGCATTTTTATGATACCATATAACAATATAATCCTTAAAAAAAGAAAAAAAATTATTCTTACAACTCTCATTTAACCTTTAAGCTAGGGTTACAGGGTTTATTACGAAATTGATCCCTAGTTTTATATTAATTTACTTCAAGTAGACTTGTGACATTGGCCATTCTCTTTGGATAATGTCATAGTTACTTCAGCTGTATCAACATAATACATCTGGGAGGCGGGAACTCCAGATGTGGAATTGCTCCCACCAGATCAGCCCGTGGGCATGTCTGTGGAGCATCTTCTTGACCGCTAACTGATGAAGGAGAGCCCAGCCCAATGAGAGGGATACCATCCCTAGGTAGACAGTCCTAGACTGTATCAGAAAGGCAGCGAAGAGCTTGGAAGCAAGCCAGTAAGCAGTGTGCCTCTAGGGCAGTGGTTCTCAAGCTGTGGGTCGCAACCCCGCGGGGACCACCTATAAGACATCCTGTATAACACGTATTTACATTCCAATTCATTACAGCAGCAAAATGACAGTTGTGGAGTAGCAATGAGATATTTTTACAGTTGAGGGTCACCACAACATGAGGAACCATATTAAAGGGCACCAGCATGAGGAAGGTTGAGAACCACTGCTCTATGGTGCCTCACTCAGTTCTTGCCTCGTACTCTGTCTTTCTTCAATGATGGGCTCTAACCTATAAGGCCCAAGTTGCTTTCGGTCAGTGTTGCATCACAGCAACACAACGCAAACTAAGACAGATTGCCAGAGTTTCCCAGTCCGGTTGAAGCTCTATTTTGGTGTTCCTCATTATTAACAACAGCACTAATTTTCTAAGTGCCTAAGCTATTCATAAGAACCAGAATTGGATATCCATTCTGTTTTCTCGCTTTCTTGCAGTCCTAGGGATAGAAGCCAGGGCCTCATAGGTAGGCAGGCACTACCCTGCTGAGCTGCACACCAAGCCCAAGAAACACAGTTAGAGAAGGACCCTTTGCTCTATGCACTAGGTACATACTCTACAACAGCATATGGAAACAGTCTCTGGAGAGCCACACTAACCAGATCCACGACCTCATGTACAAGCTGTGAGCCTCTGGCTAAGAGCTAAGCTGCTTCTAGTCAAGACAGATATTTGCCAGTGATGTATGAACCCAGAAGAGCCTTTTTTATGCTAATCATCATAGTGGATAGTCCAGTCCCATACTCAGACATTCATCTTCTCTTTTCTATGTTTTTGTTGGTTGGTTTTTGGTGTTTTACGAGACAGGGTTTAACTGTGTAGCCCTGGCTGTCCTGGAACTCACTCTGTAGACCAGGCTGGCCTTGAACTCATAGAGATCTGCCTGCCTCTGCCTCCCGAGTGCTGGGAAAAAGGCATGTGCCACTATGGCCTGGCTCTATGTATTTTTTTAAAATATATTTTATTTTTTAATATTGTATCTTATTAGTTCTTTGAGAATTTCACGCAATGTATTTTTATCATATTCACCCCTTCCTCCTCCCCTAACTTTTCCTAGATACACCCACCACCTCTCCACTTCATGTCCTATTTATTTTAAATAACCCACCAAGTCCAATTTGTGCTGCCCAGATACTCCCTTCTGGAGGTGCTTGACCTACAAAGAGGCCAAACTCTTAAGAAAATGGACTGTCTCTTCCTCAGAAGCCATCAACTGTCAATAACTTCTTAGTTTAGGATAGTTGCTTATGAGACCCTGGCCCCTCCATGCTAAAAGACTGACTGCATTAATCTTGTGCAGGCAACCACAAGTTCATCAGTCTATGCAGTTAGTCCTCTCCTATCCAGAAGACACTGTTAAGACAAATTGAAAGCCAGTTTGAGACGATGTCTGTTTAACAAAATGAAAAGTAGTCGACTCACCCCTGAAGCTGATGAGGTCCTCAGCCATGGGCTCTTGGCCAGATTTACAGTACCAGCTGTGTGTTTCCTCTGATGGAGCCAGCCTTAAATCCAACCAGAAAGTGGTTGGTTACCCCCGTAATATCTGTGCCACCATGGCAGTGTTGTAGTTCATAGAGTTCACAGTTGGATAAGACATTTGATGAATCCCCCCCACACCCCAGATAATTTCCAGTACTTTGAAAGCTAGCCAACAGGGAAAATTCTCCTGGTTAGTATCAACCTGAATTTTCCATGTTCTGTGATGAAAGTATGTAGTGTCTTCAGCCATAAGGTCTTACCATCAAGTCCTGGTGGGTAATAAACAGTAGTGGTAATAGCCTGTGTTGTTTGGGGGTGTCTTCTAGGGCACTCCTGATAAACCGTCAAAGGGAAGTATCTAACACGTGGCTATGGACTTCTCATTTGGCATCATACGGCTTCCGGAAGGATCAGTATCCTCTGTGTAGGATAACTCCAATTAAACTCGTGTGTGTGTGTGTGTGTGTGTGTGTGTGTGTGTGTGTGTGTGTGTGTCTTATAAAATTGTAAGTTTCCATATGGTCTTTCCAAGCATCCTCAGTGTTAGTTATCCCTCCCACCAAAACCCTCTTCTGCCCCCCCCACATCCTTCTCCCCATTTAGGCCCCCCCCCATGAATCCCCTTCTCCCCTTCATATCATTCATCTTCTCCCACACCTGCATTTCCTCCTGGAGCATATGGTGAGACAGTTGAACACTTGAATAGATAATGAATAACCTGGGTTACTTTTATGCAGACCCTCTCCACACGCTCTCCATTCCCTGTCTCTTGGCCCATTCATCTACCACACAAACATTTATTGGGGGTCTCTGTGCAAGGCCTGAAGGACACATGTTGACCTAGCAATACTATTGGATTTGCTTCTTTCTTCTGGTCAACACTGAAGATTACATTTTCCTGCTTACTTCTTTTTTTTTTTAAGTCTTTTTTATTGTAATTATTTGTGTGTGTGTGCTTATGTGTGTTTGCATAAGCACGTGTGTGTATGAAAGCGCCTATCAAGGCCAGAAGAGAGTATCTGATCCTCTAGAGCTGGAGTTACAGGCAGTTGTGAGCTGCCTGATGTGGATGCAGGATCTGAACTCAGGTCCTCTGCTAGAGCAGAAAGTATTCTTAACTGCTAACTGCTGAGCCATCTCTCCAGCCACCCATGCTGCTCACTTCTCAAACTCATGTTAAGATGAACACTCAGGTTTGTGGTGATATTGTGTTCCCCAAAATATTGTACACCCTAATAAACTTATCTGGGGTCAGAGAACAGAACAGCAACTAGCTATAGAGGCCAGAAAATGGTGACACACACACCTTTAATCCTATCACTTGAGAGGCAGAGATCCATCTGGATCTCTGAGTTTAAAGCCACACTGGAAATAGCCAGGCATGGTGACTCACGTCTTTAATCCCAGGAAGTGATGGCAGAAAGCAGAAAGGTATATAAGGTGTGAAAACCAGGACCTAGAGCTGGTTAAGCTTTTAGGCTTTTAGCAGCAGTTCAGCTGAGATTCATTCTGGATGAGGACGCAGAGGCTTCCAGTCTGAGGAAACAGGATCAGCTGAGGAATTGGCAAGGTGAGGTGGCTCTGGCTTGTTCTGCTTCTCTGATCTTCCAGCGTTCACCCCACTACCTGGCTCCAGGTTTGGTTTTTTTTTTTTTTTTTTTGGTTTTTTCGAGACAGGGTTTCTCTGTGTAGCTTTGCGCCTTTCCTGGGACTCACTTGGTAGTCCAGGCTGGCCTCGAACTCACAGAGATCCACCTGGCTCTGCCTCCCGAGTGCTGGGATTAAAGGCGTGCGCCACCACCGCCCGGCCCAGGTTTGTTTTTATTAATAAGACCATTTAAGATTCATGCTACACAGGTTCCATTTGGAAAATTGAAAGCTGACACCCCCAACTTCTTCCCTTCTTACCTGCTGTGGTGGTTTGAATGAGAACGGCCCCCATGGGTGCCTATGTTCGAATGCTTGGTCTCCAGTTGGTAGAACGGCTGAGGAAGGATTAGGAGGTGTGGCCTTGCTGGAGGAGTTGTGTCACTGTGGATAGGCTTTGAGGTTTCAAAAGCCCATGCCATTCCCAGTTAGCTCTCTCTGCCTCACGCTTGTGGATCAAGATGTGAGCTCTCACCTGCCATCCCAGTGCCTCGCCTGCCCGCCTAAGGCCTTGCTCCCTGCTGGGACGGTCATGGAGTCTAACTCTCCAAAACTACAAATCCCTTGGTCATGGTGTCTCATCACAGCAATAGAAAAGTAACTAAGACACTTTCCCCTCTGTCCTTTTTTCACTTCCTTTCCAGCCATTTACCCAGAAAAGCCACTAACAGTGAAGTGTCAGGGTTTAAAATCAGTGTTTCTGAAGACAGGGAAGATTGCTCAGTGGGTAAAGTGTTCATCTCACAAACACGAGAATCAGATTTCAGATCTCAAGAATCCAGGTAAAAGTCAGCTGGGCATAGCAGCCCACCTCCCAGGTTGCCAGAGGGAGGCAGAGAGAATGGGTGTCCCAGAGCAAGACTGGCTGGTCAGGAAGCTCTGTGTGCAGCTGAGACACCCGCCTCAATAAGTAAGGTGGAAAGGTATGGAGGAAGATATCTAACATCAACTCTGGGCCTCCACATCCGGGCACATATGTGTGCACATGCACACACACACACACACACACACACACACATGCTCATACA